CAAATCGCGGATCTCAGGGTTTGGGTTTCCTGCGGAGGTTTCTTGTGGCCGAGTCCCCACTGCAAATGTGCAGATGTGGTCATGCAGGCGCGCGCCGTCAAGTTCTGCAGCTGCGCGATCGTGCCCCGATGGAGGGGCTCGAGTCGCCCGCCCGCTCGGCGCGACGGCTCTCGCGCGGCCTGCGGGCGGTCCGAGGGCCACCTGCGGTGTCTTTCACAAGGGCTCCCAGGAGGGCGCGAAGTTATTCGCGCTTCGCGCTTCGCCGTCCTCCTTCCTCCTCCCCCTTCTCCTCGTCCTCCTCTTCTCCCCCTTGGGGGGCGGCGCGAGAGCGCGAAGTTATTCGCGCTTCGCGCTTCGCGCAGCGCGAAGCGCGAACTTAGGAGCCCTTGCTTTCACTGCTGCTCGCTCGTGGCAGACAGCTTCCCTGCCCTCCCCCTGGCGCTCGGAAGGCGGTTTCTTGGCCCTGGTGGCTCCGTCGTTCGTGTGCTAGGAGGTGGCCTGCGGTGGTTGTTGGCCTCCCGCAGGCTCTTCGGTCATGGATTCGAGGGTTGAAGAGAGAGAGCGCCTCTGGGAGAAAAAAAGGAAGTATCGTGCCCATGCTTTTGTGTGTGTGTTGCTACGGCTGTTGGTTTCCCAGTGGCGTCCGCGTTCGAGATAGTCTTGGCTCTTCCTAAGTATGTCCACGTGTTGAAGATCGAGAGCCCTAAGTGCAAAACGGTACAGAAAAATGCCCTGGGCGCTTGCAAGGAGAACCAAGGCGATCGTAGTATGCCTCTGGGGTGGGCACCTGATCTGTCTGCGTGCAAGGGAGCCTCGTCCGGTGCAAAGCGTCTTTCTGCTCTGTTCCATCCTCACCCTCCTCGTCCTCTGCACTTAGTGGGCCCCGGAAACGGCAGGGCCGTTTTTTCACCGTTTCCGGAAAAGTGTCCCTTGAAAATGGAAACGGCCAAAAAACGGCGACCGGAAACGGCAGCAAAAATGGCTCCAAGATTGGAACCAGAGCAGGAATCGGTCAAAAAACGGCGACGGAACCGGTGAAAAACGGCGTCGGAACCGGCAACAAAAACGGCAAAACGGAACCAGTAAAAAACGGCCTTGTCGTTTCCAGGGCCCACTAAGCCTCTGCATGCCCACTCTGCAAGAGCATGGCGGAGCAGAGTCCTGCCGGGCACGGCGGCGCGTTCGCGGATGCACTTGGGCCGTAGAGACAGCGAGACTTCCCCCCCGGGCTGGACCCAACCAGTTTTTTGGCAATCTCGTGGGCCGTTCTGTTGTTCGTTTTGTGTTGCATTCAGGGCGAAGCGATGGCAACACGAGGTAGCACGACCAAACCAAACGAAAACGAAAAACACCGTTTAGGTTCATCCCTGCTTTCCCCCGAGAATTATATGTCTCGTGTGGTGTGGTTCCCAGGCGCGCCAGTTTTCGGAGGCTACGGCCTCCGAAGATGCATCCCTGGACGACGCCATTTGGGCCCAAGACACCTGCCCCCCCCCACAAGACAGCGCCTGAACAGCCCGAAAGCCAATCCAAGGAAGCCTTGCGACGCGACATCCCATACCCGGCCCAAGACGGTCACAACCTTTCTCCGACTACGAGTCGCCCAGAAACCCCGACCTTCGTCTCATCACAGCGCCATCAAGCGCGCGCAAAGCGCGCGTGGTTCTAGTAACTAGTCATATGGTCATGCTCATGCTCATGCTCCCTCCTCCACTCACTCCCAGGTGGACGGAGGTACGATTCCGGCGGCGGCGTCTACTGCGAGCCCCCCAATAACGGCCGCGCGACCCTGAAGAACACGACCTACCCGACCATTTGCAGCAGCTTGGTCGGCGATGGTTGGGAGTGCCAGCCTCGGACACGCGCCGTGGACGGTACCCGGGAGCAGAGGAACAGGCCGTACAGCGAACACGATGCGTCGTGCTCGTGCAAGAAGGCGGGGCACAGCGGGGACTGCGCTCCAGAGGCGTGCGGCGAGCTGCTTGACGTGGACCAGTCGGGCTGGATGTGGGGAGCCGCCCTCCACGAGAGGGAGCCGCCCTCCACGAGAGGGAGCCGCCCTCCACGAGAGGGAGCCGCCCACCACGAGAGGGAGCCAGCGTTTTCAACGCAGGAAGGCCTGGTGGATCGCCAGGCCCTCCTGCGACCGATCGAACGGGAGGTCTGCCCCGCGTTCAAGGACGCACGTGCGGAACAGTGCGACTCGTCGTGGGCTCCCGAGAGAGCGCAGGGAAGAGAAAGTGCACGCCGGCCTCCCGCCGGGGCGATTTCCCCCGCGGCTCGCCCGAGTTCACGAGGCCCTACTCCGTCGAGGAGGAGGGCGGAGGAGGAGGAGGAGGAGGAGGAGGCGGAGGCGGAGGCGGAGGAGGAGGAGGAGGAGGAGGGGGAGGAGGAGGAGGAGGCGGAGGCGGAGGCGGAGGCGGAGGCGGCTGCTGGGGTCGCCTGAAGGACAACAGCAGGCTGGGCAGGACCGTTTTGCGCACGGTCGCGGAGTACGAGTCTTTGGCGAAGTGTTGCCACCGTCAGGAAGCCCAGGGTGGGCCCAAGGTGTTCAAGTGGTTGAGCGGGAATGAGCTTGTGAGGTCGTGGCGCCCCTCCAAGTGACTCAGCGGCAGGAAACTGTGTGACAGCAAGGGAGGATGGCACTCGGCCAACCATCTCGGCTTCGTCGTCAGCACGCAGGAGAAGTGTGAAAGTCTCGAGTGATCCACGCCGTGTTGAGACGAACGAGAGGTCAACGGAGAATCCATCACCACTATCAGTATCAACATCATCATACTAGTCTTTACCATCACCGTCAACGTCACCATGCTAATCACAACCACCAGCATCATCGTCATCATCATCATCATCATCATCATCATCATCATCATCATCATCATCATCTGCATCTTCATCATCATTAGCATCATCGTCATCGTCATTGCGACCACTATCACAGGGCCGCTGCGCTTCTGAGCGTGGGTTTGCCCAGGCTGAAAAATCAATCGCTCCAGAACGCTCTTGACAGTTTCGCGGCGCTCAAAAAATTCTCTAAGCCCGCCAGCTCGCATGGAGCTCATGTGTTCAGTTCGTCTGGAATCATGTTCATCGTGCCTTCGTCTTGGCGTTTGGCCAGGCCCGCCTCTGGCAACCTCTGATGCATAGACGTCGGTCTACACGATTCTTGCCCTCTTTGGGATGGGTGTGGGTGCTTACTCCTACCCCATCCCCCCTCCTTATCCAGGACACGCATTCTTCTCCCACCCCCCCTCCCTCCATCCCTATTCTTGCTCCTTATTCCTTATCCCCTCCTCAAAATTCCTTTTCCTTATAGGTAACTTCTCCCTGTCGCACCCCGAGGCCAGTTTTTGCGGCGGGCCGGGCGTTTCGCCTGAGACGTCCTCACCATTTATAGAGGGCGGGTCGTTTTCAACATGTGTCTCTCGCACATTCGTTGTAAACATTTGCAAGAGTTTCACGGATTGATGGCGGGTGGTTTTCAAAATGTGGCTCTCGCTGTAGCGCCGCGCATTCGTTTTCAACATTGCAAGAGTTTCACGGATTGAGGGTGGGTCGTTTTCAACATGTGATTCTCGCCTTAGCGCCGCGCACATTCGCTTTCAACATCAGCAAGAGTTTCACGGATTGAGGGCGGTTCTTTTTCAATGTGTGGCTCTCGTCTTAGCGCCGCGCACATTAGCTGTAAGCATTTGCAAGCGTTTCACGGATTCCAGTGATCAGCGTACCAGATATGGTGTTTGGGAAGGATTCAGGAGCATGCTGGCACAACAGTTATGTTGATTCGCTGTGTCGAAGTCCCAAACATGGCGTTCTGTCACGATTCTGGACCGTCAAGACGCCGCAGTCCGGTTGATACGTGGCGTTGAAATCCCGAGAACAATGTTTTGGCACGTTTCAGGATATTCAAACGGTTGCCTTCCAACGAGGCAGTTCCCTCAATGGAAATGAACCGTTGTAGGGGCCTATGAAGAGGGAGCTTGGAGGAAGGGTTAGTTCCAACATCGTTGATGATTCTTGGGTTTCCACTGGTCCTCCTCCTCATCCTCCTCATCCTCCTCCTCCGCCTCCTCCGCCTCCCCTCCCCCATTATCCCCCCTCCTCACTCCCTCTCCCCCTTACCTTCTCCTCTCCCTTATCTCCACCTCCTCCCTCTATCCATCCTTCCCCTCTAATTCCGCGTCATTATCCTCGTCCTCCCTCTCCCCCCCCTCCTCCATCTCCTCTTTCTCGTCCGCGTGTGGAGGGAGCAAGGATGAGGAGGAGAGTGAGGGGCGGGGGATCATCATCAGCCCCTCATCCTCCTCTGTGCCGCTGCTGCTCGAGTCAAGTCAAGATACCCTGGCCAGACGATGAGCACGACAATCCTGGCTTGCAGTGGCGGGCCGGCGTCTCGTCCCTCGCGGGCATCGGCTCGCTTTGTGCTTATCACGGCAGCACGAGGACCACACATTCCACCCGTGCATGCCTTGCGCGTGCACCAAGCAGGAGGGCGCCAAGGGGCAGTCTTCTGGGGCGCTCCTTCGGGATGCCATGCGCCACCCCCTGGCGCGCCAGCCCGCATGCCCTCCAGGGCGGCTGGCGCTCGCAACGGGGTGGACCTGTTCCGAGAGCCCCCCCCCCATGTTACCATCAGATCTGACGTTGCCCAGCACTGCAAGAAGACGGCCGCCAGAGCCCTGGACCCTGTCTTTCTGCGCCATGGTTCGAGCCGGATCGATCTGCGAGGGTCCTGGGGCCCGAGCCTGGGCGAAGGCGCCCGTAACGCCAGAGTTCAAGAGGGGAAAAAACACACAGACACAATTAATCGACGATCCCCAGGAAAATATGGGAAAAGATGGGAAGCGGGGGGGAAGGCAAAGACCCAGAACATATGCGAAAATATGGGGAAGTGTTTTATTTGTGTGTGTTTATTTGTGTGTCCCAGGGCCCCTTCAAGAGTCTCAGGCTACACGCGGTCCGCGCGCGCAGCCCCCCCCTCCGGCCCCCCCCTTTGGGAGGACCTGGCGGCCACCGCCGACAAGCTCACCGCCGACATCGCGCTGCTCGCCGAGGCCCCCCGCGGGGGGCCGCCCCGCCCCCTGCGCCGGCCGCACGCCCGCACGCGCGACGTCCCCGGCGCTCGCCCGCCCGCTCTCGTCAAACGACGCGAAGATCGGGACAAAATCGGATCGGGATAACTCGAAATCTCTGAGAATCGGCGGGCTTGGAGGATGTATTGGGCGCCGCGGCCGCTCCAGAGCGTTCCGGAACGCTCTGAGAGCGCTCCGGAACGCTCTGGAGCGATTTATCCCGATCCTAGCCCTGTTTTATCTCGGCGGGGCGAAGCTCTGTAGTTGGAGAGGGTTCGGCCGTCTTCGGCCCTTCCGGAACCAGTCGAGTCCTGAAGACGTCACGAGGGGAGGTTGTTCCATCTTTTCGACTTCTGCGGGCCCTTACGAGGCGTCTGGACCGTAGGCGAAAATTGTTCGGGATGAAAATCAGGTGCCCGGGAATGGGTCAAGACCTGGGGGTCGACGTGATGAAAAAGAACTATGATGTCGGTGGTCTGGGCTGAGTGTCCTCGCCAGGCCCCGGGGTCGTCAAAAAGCGGCTCGGGTTGAACAGTCAGGGAGACGCGGTCGGGAATTCTGGGGGTGGGGGGGGCGCATGTTAGCAAAAGCCAAACGTCGCATGTTTGAATCTCCTAGCCTCCAAGATGGGAGTTCAGGTAATTGGAGGGGTTTGGAGGGTGCCCCGACGTCGATGCGTCGCCGATGCGGCACGATGCGGCGCCCGTTTTTTGTCGCACAGACGGCGCCGATGCATCGCCGACGCAGCCGAGGCATCGGCGATGCGGCGTAATCCTCGGACCCCGTCGATTCGTACCCAATTTGGGAGGCCCCCATCCTCGGGAGCGTGGGCGGGGGTGAGGATCCGGCAGGCATGGGAGGAGGGTCATCAGAGGAGCAGCATGGGGCCATCGACACCGAGAACCCAGCGGGGTGGCCGACCCCTGGGCGGCGGCACGCCCGAGCGTCCTCCTGTACTAGGTTAATTCTCGGGCATGCCGCCGCCCAGGGGTCGGCGCCCTTCCCGGATGCCTGGGGGGGGGGGGAAGCGTGGCGGGATGACGCCTCGCGCCTCGCGGCGTGGCAAGAGCTACAGTCGGGGCGCTGAAGAAGGAAATCTTTTCGTTGGGGAGGGGCTCCGCGTTCCTTAAGTGTTTCGCAGCTTGCCTCAGGTTTTCCTTATGCTTTCGATCGGAAGTCGAAGTTTAACTTATGGACAAAAGTCGGGGGAGCGTAAGACCCGGGTTTGCCGGGACCCGGGTTCGCCATCGTTTTTTGACGACCGCGCCTCGGATTTTGACGAGGAGGAGTTTCGTGGGATGTCTGCAGCGGGAGGCCTCGTCAAAATGCAGGCTCGGCCTCGTCATTTTTTTGACGACCTCGTCGGGGATTTCCGAGTCCCCCGTACCCGGGTCTTACGTCTCCCCGATAGGTCAAGGCCCCGGCTGTACGCCAGGCAGGTTATTCGTTGGCCTCCCAGCCTCATGGGGGCCTTCGCGGGGCCCCGGGGACCATCCGAGAGCGGCTCCGGGCGAGGAGCCCCAAGGGCTCCCTCGAGGGCGCGAAGTTATTCGCGCTTCGCGCTTCGCGGTCCTCGTTCCTTCTCCCCCTCCTCCTCGTCCTCCTATTCTCCCTTTGGGAGGGCGGCGCGAGAGCGCGAAGTTATTCGCGCTTCGCGCTTCGCGCAGCGCGAAGCGCGAAGTTGGGAGCCCTAGAGCCCGCTCCCCCCGGGGCGGGGTCGGCGCTCGGCATCTCCGGGAGTTCCACGTCGCGAGAGCGCCACGGCGTCGGAGGTCGGGCGGAGCTCGGGCGAGGCCGCGAGGAGGGAGGGGCACGGGAGCGCCACGCCCTGGAGTGCCAGCGTGACGCGGGCGGCCACCGCCGCTTCCCCTGCCTTGCTTACGCCGGGGGTGGACAGAACCCCCAACAGCGACACGTCGATTAGTGAATTGTCCGTTTTCGGTTTTCGAGAGGGCGCCGTGGCCGTTATTTTCCAGGCTTGCGCCCGCCAGGTTTGGGCCTCAGGTCGTTTTCACTAAACCACGTTTTGCTAAAGGGGGGTCTGTCCATCCCCGATTACGCTTGTTTGGGGGCCTCCTGGGAGGCCCTCGTCGCCACGGCTGGATTCATTCGCCTCGAAGCTCTAGTCGGAATGGCACCACGGGAGATGTCCAGGGGGTAGCGGGATCGGTGTCGAGAACGCGTGCGGCGAATCACCGCCGTCCCTTGCCTTTCAGGATGCGCATACGAGGCCAGACATGTGGGCAAAGTTTGGCCACGCTATTGGACCATGTGTTTCCCCAGCCTCCGTGGAAGCCCTTCGGGGAACACGTGGGTGAGGAAGAGGAGGATGAGGAGGAGAGGGAGGAAACAGGACAGAAAGGAGAGAGGCATGAAGAGGCCTCCTGGAAGCTTCTGTGATCTCTCTTGGGGCCTTTTTGGGAGCTTCTTGGGGGCATAGTTGGCTGTCTTGCGACGTTCCTGGCCGGTCTGACGCCGTCGCAGGCCGTTTTGGATGCTTCTCTGAACCGAATCGGGGCCCTCTTTGGGCGCTTCAGGGCCGTCTTGGAGGCCATCTTGGGCGCCTTGGGGCCTCTTGGACCGTCTTGGCGCCCTCTTGGAGCCGTCTTGGAGGCTTCTTGGGCCCGTCATGAGGTCATCTTGGAAGCCTTTGGGGCAATCTTTGGGCGATCTTGGCGGCCTCTGGGCCGTCTCGGGCCGTCGGAAGGCCGACAAGAAGCAAATGCTAAATTCCTGGAAACGAGCAATCGGACATCAATGATCATTGGGCCCCCTTGGGGAACAGGCGGTTGTGGTGTGCTTGGGAAATCAATAATTCTAGCATCTTTGGGCCTTCCTTGAGGACCCCTTAGAAGCCTCTTGAGCCATCTTCGGGGCCTCCTGGGCGCTTCACAGGCCGTCTTGGGCTACCTTGGATCATCTTGGCGGTCTTGATGGCACCTTAGGACCGTCTTGGAGGCCATCTTGGGGCTATCTTGGGCCCTCTCGGGGCCATCTTGACCGTCTTGGAAGCATCTTGATCACCTTGGAGGCCATCTTGAAGCCATCTGAGGCGAATAACCGACGACAGCCGGCGCGCTGTGCCGAAGGCCCTGGGGGAATTCTACAAGAACCACAAATATTTCAGAACGGCCAACACGCCGGGCACCCCTGTGGCATGCCAACAGGGGGCGGCGGATCGAAAACACCTGCGGCGAATCACCGCCGCCCTCTGCATTTCAGGATACGCCTGCGAGGCCAGACGCTTGGGCAAAGTTTGGCCACGCTATTGGACCATGCGTTCCCCCAGCCTCTGTGGGCCCTTCGGGGAACACGTGGATGAGGAAGAGGAGGACGAGGAGGAGAGGGAGGAAACAGGAGAGAAAGGAGAGAGGCATGAGGCGGTCTCTTTGGAGCTTCTGGGGCCACTCTCTGGGCCTCCTAGGAGCTTCCTTCTTGTCTTTTAGAGGTCCGTGTGGGCCTCCTTGGGCCTCGTGGGGCATAGTTGGCTGTTTTACGACGTTCCTGGCCCGTCTGACGCCGTCGGAGGCCGTTTGGGATGCTTCTCTGAACCGAATCGGGGCCCTCTTTGGGCGCTTCAGGGCCGTCTTGGAGGCCATCTTGGGCGCCTTGGGGCCTCTTGGACCGTCTTGGCGCCCTCTTGGAGCCGTCTGGAGGCTTCTTGGGCCGTCATGGGGCCATCTTGGAAGCCTTTGGGGCCATGTTGGGGCGATCTTGGGGACCTCTTGGGCTGTCGGAAGGCCGAAAAGAAGCAAATACCAAATTACTCGAATAACCGTCGGCAAATCAATGATTCTGGCATATTCGGCAAATCAACCTCCTGGAGTACCTCTTGGAGGCCTCTTTGGCCGTCTTGGAGGCCTCTTGGGCCGTCTTGGAGGCTTCCTGGATGAATTTGAAGACATCTTGGACTCGGGCTGTCTAGGATGCCATTTTGGACCATCTTGGGCGAGCTTGAGAGCCATCTTGGCCGACTTGGATGCAAACTTGGGCCATCTTGGAGCGGTCCAGACCAGGAGAAACCTTTGCAGCCACCTCGAACTCAGCCTTCCGGGTGGCCGGCGGCATCGGCCGAAGCCCCAGCGGGAGTTCTAAAAGAAGCACGCCAGGCCCCCACTGTGGCACGACCACAGGGGGCGGCGGATGACGGAAGGCGCGCGTAGTGTCGCGATCTATTAGCCCGGAGAAATAACAAGGGGGGGGTGGGTGGGGGGTAGGCAGGAGTAGCCTCAGATCTAATGACCCCAAAGTTTGACCGTTTTCGGTTCAAGGCGGCCCAAGTTGGCCCCAGGAGCACCCAAGAGACCCCCAAGACGGCTCAAGACGCTCCCTAGACGGCCTCACGTACCTCCACGCCGGCCTCCGGGAGTCTTACGAGGGCTCGAAGACGGCCCAAGGCCGCTCCAAAAGGGCCCAACAGTCTCAGGACGGCCAAAGAGAGAGGCCCCACAGAGGAGCTCCAAAAGGCAAACATCGTCCCATTATCTGGGGGAAGCGTGCATTTGCTGCATATTCGCTTCGTCGGTCTTCACAGCGTCTAGGACGGCCCAAGAGGCCCCGAAGACCGCCACAAGACGGCCCAAGAGGCCCCCAAGGCGGCCCCAAGACAGCCCAAGTGGGCTCCAAGACGGCCCAAGAGAGCCCCAAGACGGCCCAAGAGGGGCCCGTGAGGGTGTTCCCAAGAGAGCCCCAGGAGGGCCACAGGAGGTCCCCAAGAGGGTCCTGGAGGGTCCCGATAGGGCCTCAAGGGCCCCAGAAGAGCCCAAAAAGGACCCCCAGGAAGGCTCGAAAATGCGATGTTCATGTATTTGCCCAAGGCTTGTTGCTTTGTATGTCGCACCAAAGCCTTAACCACTGCAGGGCTCCAAGACACTAAGCCAGCGACCTCGCGCCCTCACAAAGTACACGCGCTTTCCGTCCCCGTGCCAAGCAGCTTGAATGGCCTTCGGCCCATGCAGCCACCGTGCCTGCGTTGCGTGTCATAATTAGGCCTCTAGGATGCTCGTTGGGATGTCGCGGGAGGCCTGTCGGGGGCCTCTTTGGGGTCGTTTTGAAGACTCTTTGGGGCCGTTTTGGGGCCTCTTGGGGCGTTTTCGGGGTCTCTTGGGGGCCTCTTGGGGGCATCTCGGGGCCTCCCTGGGGGCCCCCTGGGAGCCTTTGCGGGGGAAGGCTCGGAGTTTCGGTTCGTGTTCCCCTCTTGGGCCCTTCTTAGAGCTGTCTTTGGGCCCTTTGGGGCCGCCTTGGGCGCCTCTGGGGCCGTCTTGGAGCACTCTTGGGCCGTATTGGGGCTCTCCTGGGGGTTTCTTTGACTGTCTTGGGGTGGTCCTGGGGGCCTCTTGGGCCCGTATTGGAGCGTTGGGACTTTCGACAAGCCGAGGGCCCCGAAATCATTTATCAACCTTCTGGGGAATCCATGTTTTTGCCTTTCGGGGCCCTCTTTAAAAAAGCTCTTGGGGCTCTGTGGGAGCGTCTCATTGGCCTCTTGAGCTCTTGAGCCGTCTCGGGACCATCTTGGGCGTCTTGGTGCGATCTTTGGGCGTCTCGGGGCCCTCTTGAACCGTCTTGGGGGCTTCTTGAGGCCCTCTTGGTCCGTCTTGGGGCCCTCTTGGGTCCGAACAAATTACGCGGGTAGATGCGCAAAGCCCCGACAAGCCGCGGGAATCCCCAGAAGATTTGGCAAGTCGGGGCCCGGGCCCTGTGAAGAGGACTGAGGCTTAGAGGATTGTGCAAAGAATCTGAGGACACGCCCACTCCGTGCCCATCGGAACGATGGCGGATCTTGTGGTTCCCCCAGTTGTAGCAGGAGGGGCGAAGGGAGGGGGAGGAGGATGAGGAATAGGAAGAGGAGGAGGAGGAGTAGGAGGAGGAGGAGAAGGAGGAAGAGGCGGAGCGGGATAGGGGGCAGACGGGGGTGCAGCAGTAGGCACGTCGATTGTCGAAGGAGGAGAAGCTGACTCAACATATACTTCCGAGGGTCCGCGCGGAGTTCTTGGGTGTACGCTGGGCCCCTGGTGGCGCCTCCAGCGCCGCCCCCGGCGCGCTCTGCGCACCAGTGACTGGTGTCCAGCGCCGATCTGAGAAGTCCTTGCGGACGTCCGCAAGTTACATTTATGTTGAGCTTTCTTCTTCTAGAGAAACGAGCCTGCTGGCATGTGCCCCACGAGGCCCCACGGATCCGCAGGGGCCCTTGGCCCGTCATTGTCTCCTCTACATCTTGACTCCAATTGCTCCTGCTCGCGCTGGTGCTGATGCTGCTCATGTTCTGCTGCCCCTTTTCCCGTCCTTGCCTCTGCAATGATCCTCCCTGTCAAGCTACCCCTCATCTCGGGTTGGACGAAATGGGTGGATATGAACTACGAGGGCGTACGACATCATGCAGCTGCTTTCGGCTCTGTTTCAGCGCGCCTTCCTCGATTGCGCCGGCGCCCCCGTGAGCTGATTCGCCAACCTTCCCTTTGCACCAAAATCCTTCCGCCTCCGCCGCGTTATCCATTCCTTCTCCTTGTAGATAATCCTCCCTGTCGCACACCGAGGCTAGTTTTTAGGGCGGTCCGGTCGTTTCGCCTGAGAGTTCCTCACCATTTATCACCCTGAAGCTTGAAAAGTGACAACAGCTTCACGGATTGAGGGCGGGCCGTTTTCAAAATGTGGCTCTCGCTTCAGCGCCGCGCGCAATCTTTTTAAAGATTTGCAAGAGGTTCACGGATTGAGGGCGCTACCTTTTCAAAATGTGGCTCTCGCCTTAGCGCCGTGCACATTCTTTTTAAACATATGCAAGAGCTTCACGGATTGAGGGCGGGTGGTTTTCAAAATATGGCTCTCGCATTAGCGCCGCGCACATTCGTTTTAAACAACTTGCAACAGTTTCACGGATTGAGGGCGGTTCCTTTTCAACATGTGGCTCTCGCTTGAGCGCCGTCCACATTCATTTTAGAATGTTGCAAGAGTTTCACGGATTCCCATGATAACGTTCCGATAATTGCGTTGTGGAAGGATTCAGGAGCATGCGGGTGCAACAGTTCTGTTCATTCGCGGTGCTGAAATCCAAACAGTAGCGTTATGGCACGTTTCCGGATCGCCAAAACGCAGCGGCCAGGTTCATACGTGGCGTTGAAATCCCGAGAACAATGTTTTGGCATGCTTCAGGATCTTCAAACGGTTGTCTTCCAGCGAGGCAGTTCCCTCAATGGAAATGAACCGTTTTAGGGGCCTATGACCAGGGAGCTTGGAGGGAGGGTTCATTCCAACATCGTTGATGACTCATGGGTTTACTCTGGTTCTCCTCCTCCTCCTCCTCCGCCTGTTCACCCTTTCGCAGGAGATCACCAAGCTGGCCGACGACATCGCCAGTATCATGGCGGAGCAGGCAGAGGCGACCAAGCTCCGCGGCGATGAGAAGGACCCGTGGGCACTGAACGAAGCCCGTGCCTCCCCGGCTCTGCATCTCCCCAAGCTCACGACGTCTTGAAAACAGCAGCGCGGCCGTTCTTGAAAGCCCGGGCCTCCGGATGCGCATCTCGGGCTCGGGGGCCTTCACAGAAATGCCCAGGGCACGGGTCCCATTCACTGCTGATGTTAGGATCGAGAGCTGCGTAGCCCGCGCATAAAGGATCAGTGCGTTGGAGTGTCCGCCCTGTCCTCTCCGACGGCACGCGGCACGGCTCGGGGTTGCAGTCGGCGCGGGGAGGCGCGCCGCCAGTGCAGCGGCTCGCGCCGACAGCACACCCAGACGCCGCGCGTCACGCCGTCCGCCTCGATCCGGTCGAGCAGGCGCTGCCACGGCTCCCAAGGTTCCTGCACGTCCGACCCGGGCACGGGCGTGCGACGCTGCAGCTCGGGGTCGCCCCCGCAGTGGTGGCAAGAGGCGTGCACGTGCGCAGCCAATGACGTGGAGGTGTGTTCTGGGCAGTGTTTGCGCTCAAGGGCTTTGTTTACGTGCTTGTTCTCTGGGGAGCTTTGTCTCGTGGGCTGTCGGTTGCGCCCATGGGCAGCTCCATGTGGTGCGCCCTTTCGCCATATGTTGCGCCCATGGGTTGCGCCTTACTGTACGCCATGCTCTTTGTTCGAAGCCAAAGATGAGGTCATGGGTCGCGTCCTAGGTTGCGCCCATCGGTCGCGCCTGCGCCCCCCTGCCCTCGCGGATTTCCGTTGGCATTGGCATATTTCGCACCGATGGGTGATTGTTGGCATTTGGTGGCTTACTGGGTTGCGCCATGGTTGCGTTGCTTTGCGTTGCATGGTTTTCCACTGTTTGTCTGGGCGTTGATTTGAAAGCCAGAGCGCAAACCTGATATCGATGGGCGTCCTGTCCACCCGCAGCAGGCGACAGGAGCATAGCTGGTAATTGCTACTCATGTTCCAGTCTTGAATTATTGAGCCTTCACTCTTAGTTCTTCGCGCTGTTGAAACGCGTGATAGTTGTGCGTCTTCCCCCGTTTCTCCTCCTGCTGCTGCTCCTCTTCCTCTTCGTCACTGGTCTCGTGGCCCCGAATCGGCCGGCACCGAACGATCAGCGTTGCCGGGCGGACGTGATCATCTTGGGCTCAACGACCCACCAACGCACGAATCGTCGCGACGGGAGCCAGCCGTGGTCACGCTTGTACGCTCTGCGCAGCACGTAGTGCACATATGACCTGGCAGCGCTGCCGCGCAAACATGCAGCCGTTCCCGGGCAGGCGCCATAGGCCACTGGCGAAGAGGAGGCAAATCAATCTCTGGGCTGAGGGAGCCCATGGGGCCGGCTGGGCGGCTGAGGTGGCCAAGCTCGAGTCCAGGGCAGCAGAAGGGGAACGGGGCCCCCTCGTCACCATGTCTGGGCGTGGCTCGAAGAACTTCTCGGCTTCGACCTCTGGAGGAGTCCGGGGCCCATCTCCTCGCAGACCCCCCAGCCGCTTCCAGGGGAGCCTCGCCTGGCTTCCCCCCAAGGCCGCCCTCGACGCCACCGGCGGTTGCGCACACCGCGAGGGGTGTCGGGGGTCGGACCTGGGAGGGCGCCAGGGACGGCTTCCTCAGCCCAGCGGCTGTGGCTGTCTCTTCCTCGCGCCTGCCGAGGGAGGGTTGGGGGTGCACGGGGGGTGGGCGGGGGGGGGGGCGCCCGGTGGCAAGTCGCTGCGGGGCCGAGCGCGAACAGATCCGCTGACGCAAGAGCCACCCTGGGCCCGGGGGGCGCTGCGTTGCCCCGACCGTGCCCAGCTGCCGAAGCTCGCCCTGGCCAGGCACGCCCGAGAGCCCAGAGTCCCGCCACGGTGCAAGGTCGGCGGACGCGAGCGTCAGGCCCACCCGGCCTCGCAGGTGAGCAGCGCCGCGCGGCGATGGCGGCGGCCACTGCCACTGCCGGCGACGCGGCGGCGGCGGCGGCGGTGGCGGCGGCGGTGGTGCCGGCGGCGCCGGCGGCGGTGGCGGCCGTGGCCGCCGCTGCCGTGGCCGGCGGCGGTGGAGGGTGACGGCGGCAGCCGCTGGCCGAGGGCCGCCGAGCGGTGGAGCCGGGCGGCGACGCGCCCGGCCAGCCCGAGCTTCCCAGGCCATCAACGCCCAGACCGTCGCGGACGCCAAGGACGGGCAGGAGGCCCTCGTGCCCCCCTCTCCTCCGCCTCCTCCTCCGCCTCCTCCTCCTCCTCCTCCTCCTCCTCCACCCCTCCTCTTCCTCCTCCTCCTCTTCCTCCTCTTCCTCCTCTCGAAGAAGGAGAAACAGAGCAGCATGCAGATTCGTCAGTCGCAGGTCTGCGCGTTTTTTTGTATCGGCGCTGGGCCTTCATGGCGGCGCCTCAGGCGCCGCCCTCGGGGCGCTCCATGCGCCAGGTATGGGGGGGGGGGTCAGAACGGATCCAGGAGACCCGGACTTCCAAATATCTATGTTTACGCATGTTGTTGCTCTACCACTGGGGCTCTTCTCCTAATTTGTGCGCGTCCTACGCCTTCTCCTCCTCCCCATCCTACTGCGGTCAAGAACTTGTGCTCAGAGGCTTAGCGAGTCGCGCCGCCAGTCCAGGCCCACCACGCTTTGGCGCGACACTCTGGGCCTTAGTGGGCCCTGGAAACGACGGGGCCGTTTTTGTTACCGGTTGCGTTTTGCTGTTTTTTTGCCGGTTCCGACGCCGTTTTTGTTACCGGTTCCGTCGCCGTTGTTTTACCGGTTCCCGCTCCGGTTCCAATCCTGGAGCCGTTTTTTTTGCCGTTTCCAGCCGCCGTTTTTTTGCCGTTTCCAGTTTCAAGGGACTCTCTCTCGGAAACGGTGAAAAAAACGGCCCTGCCGTTTCCGGGGCCCACTAAGCTTTGGGCACGTCCCAGTCCCCAATAGTCAACGGCCGCCCGTCCCACGCAGCAGAGCGACACGCTATCTCACTGTAAGGCGTAGCGTTTTTGGGGGGGCGCCTTTGCGACACGCAGAGCAAAAGGTCCTCACCTTAGCTGCACAGAGGCTTGCCGCCTCACTCCACGACAATCTTTGCTCCACCGCGCAGGCGCACGGCGCACGCGTGTGCGCGCCGTGCTACCACGCGCAGTGGTTTTGTTCGCACGCCGACGAGCGGTAGCTTCACGAAGAAGAAGGAGAAGTACAGCAGGGATAGGACCGCATGCTCTGACCTTATCCGTTGCTTCTTCATCGTCCTCTCTGGGAAACCTCAGCCTCATTCTGCATAATTGCCTCCTCCCGTCTTCGCCTCATTCCGCTCCTCTTTCGCTTCCTCCAAACCTCCACAGTATCTTCGTCCCCCCTTCTCCAACGACCTCCCCGCCCTCGTGTCCCATCCAGCCAGCCTTATCCTCCCTTCCTATCTCCTCCAGCCCCTGCTGCTGCGCCTCCGCGTCCCCCTCGTGCTCGGGGGTCGGGCCCAGACCTCCGCCTCTTGTGACCTTTCGCAGCGTGGACCCCGGGAGGAGGACCAGAACACCTCCCCAGGGGCCCCCCGTGACCGAAAGTCGCCCAGAGCCCCTCCTGCTTCTGCTCGCGAGGCGATGGGGGCCCTGCGGCGGCATCTGCTCGTCACCATCCTGCCGGTCTCGGAGGAGGAGGAGGAGAGGAGGAGGAGAGGAGGAGAGGGAGAAGGAGGAGGAGGAGGAGGAGGAGGAAGAGGAGGAGGAGGAGGAGGAGGAGGAGGAGGAGGAGAGGTCCTCTGCCCCTGCTCCACTCCTCCCCGCTCTCTGGGCCACTGGCCGCCCCGCCTCCTCTGCCGTCTCCTCCTCCTCCTCCTCCTCCTCCTCCTCCTCCTCCTCCAAGCGGCCGTATGAGGCTTCCAGGAGTCGCGCGCCACTTCAGAATCACACGCATGCCAGGTGCACACACAGCACTCAGCCATGTCTGCGTGCTCAGCGGCGGTTCTTGAGCTGGTAAGCGTGGTCGCGTACAACCCGAATAGCGCCACCCTCTCCCGCACACAGGACATACTGGAGGAACTCTCGAACACCACGGTGGTCACACTCATAGGCACGCAGGAGAAGCAGTACCAGCAGAGGGAGATGCGCAAATGTTCTTCATACTGGGGATATACAGAGGGGTGGAGAGCGGGAGCACTAACGAACAAGTCTTGTGGTATAAGTACTTGGTTCAACAATCGCTTTTTCCGCCCAGCTCATCTACGTGGTGTAATGACGAGCCCAAAGGGGTTGCAAGGCAGAGTTTTGTGCTGCAAGATGGAACGACAATCAGTTCGAATAGTCTTCATCTCGCTCTATTTTCCGCCCAGCACGAGAGAGAAGTCACAGCAACTGAAGTACACGAATTGTTGCGAGGCGATTATCAAGTGGCTTTCCAAAGTGTTAGGATCTTTGGCTGGCAGATGGACACCAGTTATAACAATGGACCTCAATTCAGCTTTCACCGAGGAGGTTAGCGAAATGATTGGACCCTACGGCCATGGCGAAGAGGAGCGTTTATCTGCGGCTCTATTCAAGCCAGTTCTAGCGGCTCATGAGTTGTGCATGGTCAACACGATGAAGGACGCAGGTTGCACATTTGTGGCTTCCAATGGTACGACGCGAACATTAGACTACATTGCAATTCCCAGTGCGCTGCTACCCTCAGTAAGGTGGTGCACAACAATCAGACGGAGCACGAGACGACTACAACCACATAGGTGGGGACGTGAATGGGATCATTTACCATTGGGAGCGAGTATTAGCTGGAGTGAGAATATGGTACCAGAACCAAAGCGCACACTCATGCAGAGAATTGAACCATCGGCGGCTAGTGCACTTTTACAACGAGGCTATAAAAGAAAGGAGTTCACGAAGGCAGTGTACGACACGATCTCAGCGAGAGCGGCCTGGGTCAGAAGCAAATCAGGATATGAAATGGCAGTAGAGGCGAATCAACTACTGGTGGAGGCTCTGGTTGCAGGAGCAGAAGCTACTTGTATGCAGAAGGAATGTTACACAGAGAGTCACGTACAGTACGCTGCTGAACTTAAAAAGCTACTTGGGCATCGGCGACAACTGCGAGACAGATTTGCTTGGGCATACTCTGAGCAAGACGAGCTGCAGCAGTTGGAGATTACAGTGAGAATCACGACACTGAGCAGATGGTTACGACAACATAAAAGACGGCACTGGCAGCAAGTTCAAGAAGATCGAGTCTGTGCTTTCGAGGAAGCTCGAACAAAGCAAGGACTACCACGAGGTGCATCGTATTGCCAGGCTGCTCGCGTGCAAAGGAAGAGGACCACGACGACGATCATATAGGCAGCTCACCACGAGTGGTACTACGTCGGAGTGGAAAGAGAGGATGAGGATGACGGGAGAGATGGGTGGAGCTTCAGCGCAGATCGTACAGTACGACGGTATGGCTCAGATGGTGCACGACCTTCCCGAGCAGCGCAACACCGCGACAGCAGAAGAGACGGAAGAAGACATAACAGCATTCAAAAATGAGATCTGGAAACTACGTCTATGGAGAGTGGCGCCACGCGACAGCATCGGCGCTGAGTTCTTGAGAGCGGCCTTTTTTTTCTCCAAATTGGGTCAACCGGGGACGGTTGCAACACAAGCACGGGCTGGGCTTCGAGCAAGAACAAGAGAATATATCGGCCTTACCAGCGTATTTCATATTGTGGCGCCTCCTCCGTGGGATTCGAGAGAGTGGAAAGTTGCCGCTATCATGGGTATGTTCAAATGCTTGCAAGACAGGCAAAGGCAATCATAAGGAAGGAGTGGGCGGAGAGAGGCTCATTATGTTGGTGTGCACGTTGGCGAAGGCGTATTTCAGGAGTTTGCTCGCACGTGGGGCCCCGCCTGAGGTGGAATCATGGTTTATGGATGTCTACCTGGACGGCGACGAGAGGCAGCAGTAACCGTTCAGCAGGCTTATTCGTGGCGAAAGCGATATCAGGCGGGGCAGTCCCACATAAAACGCCTCCACGACGCGACCAACGCCTTCCACTGCATGGGTCGCGAAACATTGTGCGAGGAGACCGAGCATGTTTTTCGAGAAGAAGATTGGCAGGTAATGAAGTTCAGAGTTAATCTAGCTTGTTTCAGGTTGCCTGGGGACGAGTCCAACGAGGTACTGTTGCTTCGGCGACCCTGCTACGGTTAGACTTTTCGTGGGAGCATGCGCCAGGCAGACGGGAATGGGATCAGTCAACATCGATAACTATAAGCAGAGCAGTTTCTTTTGTCCTTGGACCAGAATGTGGATACATGCAGCGTTTACTCTTTATGTGGACGACGCGGCGGACAACTTCGATGTGGACAACAGCACCGAGAGCATAGTGGCAGCAGGTGTTTATCAGCATCAGATTATAACGGGCAGAATGACGGAGGTGAAGACGGCACAGAACGTCAGCAAGCAAGAGAATCTAGTGTATTTGGCAGGTCAGAACTCAATATATATTGAAGCGAAGTTGCTCCGTGAACAGATATTGGATGGGAAACAACAGTTTACGCGCGATACCTGGGGCCGCGCATCCATGCCAGATTCGCACTTTGTGAAATGGGGTATCGGCTCACGGCAGGACGGGCGGCGCGGTGCAATCTCGGTAAGTTCTGGAGCAGCAATGTCGCGTTTGCATGGGAAATCAATTTACTCAAAGGATACGTGGCCAACGCTTGCTACAGCGGAACCGAAGTTATGTGTTCAAAGAATGGGCCTATGCGAGCACAGGACTGGCAGCCCATCCTCAGCTTCCTCGCCATGCGTGCAAAGACACTCATGAGGGGTGTGGCCGAGCAAAAAGAGAATGGCAACATTCGTACCCTCTCGAACCTCCAGGTCCTCAGCAAAGTACGTCTAGCAGCCCCGCGCGTCGAGGTGGGGGTCCGAAGGCCCAAATGGCTTCAGCAATGCCTAAAGCATCAAACAAGGTTTGCTCAGTTTCTTGCGGTGGTTTTCGGGCGCTCCTGGGGCGACGAAGCAACCGAGATCGAGAGATGCGCGAGCGACGACGACAGGGCGAACCCGTGGTGCGAGCAGCTAATAGATGACATCAAGGCAATAAAGCTATTCGATGACGGGGCTAGGCTACTAGAAATATATGGAGTGGAGGAGATACTTTTCGAGGGGAGGGAGGACGTCATATCGTTTGACATGGGGGCTTTTCGGTCATACTACTTTCTGAACATCAAACAGCACGAGCACAAAGAGGATGATATAGAAAAGGGTGGGCCGTATCGTTGCACGGCGCTCAAGGGCGACGGGGGGATTTGCAGTGAAAGGTTCCAAACAAAAAAAACAGTTGGCGGCGCACTATTTGATGACGAAGGGGGGCGCGCACGGAAAGCAGCTACTGGGACGGATGTGTTGTGTATCGAGTCAGTGCGTGATATGCGGCTCCAACTTCTCGTCCATCGATTACGCCAAGAGACACATGAATAGAAACATGATTCGAGGTATATGTCACGTAGATAGAGGACGCGCTGACGGTAACATCATTCAGCCAAAATCGCATGAATGCCCAGCCTGTGACTACGTTGCTCTCGACAATGAAGATGTCCGTAGACATTTACTCGTCGAGCATCTTCAGCCACACTTGTCTTCTCACGTACTGGAGTTTGAGTTGCCTGACCTGTCTGAGGCCCTTCAATTCTATGGATTGGTTGACGCCGTCGGCTCTCAAGAGGGGACCAGCGGCAGGGGAGGGCGACCAGAGGGGCAAAGATCGGCGCGTGGACAAGCCAGAGGACGGACACGTGAACAGCAAGCTTCTTCGGCAGCTCGAGAGCCGCATTGGGGCGCTGGAGTTCGGATCGGGATTGGCAGTATACGGGCCCAGCGATGCGTTTCAGATCACAATGTTGAAAGCGATGTACAGCGACTACCAGAAGCAGGTAGAGGGCAAGGCCAGCACACACGGTCTGGGCCCACCAGACTAGCAGAGTTTTGCCGCGTTTCTGAGCGGTTTCAGCGGCTGGCTAGAGCAGCAGGGCGCGGCGCAGCAGTCGGTCAAGCACATCTCGGAGGTACCAGACCGTCTTCTGCTGATGATGCAGCACTCGGACATGCCGACGTGCAGCCTGTGGATCAAGGAGTGCGGCACGTCGAACACACAGGACGGGGGCATCTCGAGGATCACGGTCAAGGCGCTAGGATCTATCACGTTCCCCGTGGAGGTCTCGCAGCCAACTCCGCTGCAGGAGCAGAAGCAGCACTGGGAGGTGCTCGGGGACGCGGGGGCCGAGCAGGGCGCAAAGGACAAGGCCGCGGCCCGCGTCGTTCGGTCTCCTCTCGAGTATGAAGTAGGCTCCGCAGCGGTGAAAGTTATCACAGTTGAGCACGCTTTGTATCAGCTGTTTCGGGCATCGGGCTTTAACAACAAGCCAGGTCGTGCCCCTAGGGGCAAATTAGTGAGATTGGTAAAAACCGATAAGCAGTAGATCTGTGTTTTTCGGAGGCGGGGGATGTGGTTGGGGTCACTCATCATGGGGGAGGGGAGTGGCCTGTGAGTCCCTCTCGCCCAGGGTGCGGTGAGCCCGCCTCCTCCTACGGCCTGTCTGGCCTGCCCCGTGTGGGGCGTACCAACGAAGCGTTGGGCGCCGTTCCACCGTTCCCTGGACCCCGCAGCTGCACTTTTTAATTTGTTTCGGGTTATCCTTGGGAGCGTGAGCGCCCCGTCAGGATGAGATCGGCTACAAGAGCCAAGGCCCAGAGCATGCAAGTGGAGTGAAGTGAACTTTGAGCTCGAATGGGGAAGACAGACAGGCAGACTCCTCCTCCTCCTCCTCCTCCTCCTCCTCCTCCTCCTCCTCCTCCTCCCTCCTCCTCCTCCTCCTCCTCCTCCTCCTCCTCCCCCTCCTTCCCCCCCCCCCTCCCCCCCCCCTCCTCCTGCTCCTCCTGCTCCTCTGCTCTCATCAGCGTGGCGCGCGGCGCAGACGGCGCCGACCTCCACTGAAATGGCCCTTCATTGTGCCATCCCCGTTGGCCCGTGATCATCCAGGCCCTCCCTCTTCCGCACCCGCCAGTCTCCGCCGCCCCCCTTGTTCTTGCCCACCTCCCCGCCTCTCCCCCCTCCCTGCACGGGGGGTCTCCCCGCGCATGCCGCTCCCCGCCCCCTGTCCCAGGGAGGGGGGGGGGTCGCGCGATGGGGCGAGCGAGGCCTCTGTCGGGGCCGTCGGCTGCTTCAGGGGTGGGCCTTGGGCCACTTGCTCGACGCGTGCGCCGCGCTGCAGGGGGACGGGAGGCCCTGCGGGAAGGGTCGGGCGGGCGGCAGCAGGTGGGCGCCAACTGACGCGCTGGGCGTGGTGGAGCCAGCGCTGGCAAGTGCCGTTGGGCAGGCCGGGCTGCACGGACACGGGTGCGGCACACGCGCGGCGGGGCAGGGGGGCCGCCGTAGTATACCTCAGGGTTTGGGCATCCGGGGAGGAGGGGCGGTCAGCATTCTTGTCGCGCCGGCCCGCAGACCCACGGGCGGAGTGCGCACGTGACGGGATGTTTCGGCCCGAGGGGCCACCCCGCTATCACAGCCGAACGAGATCACAATCTCCTCTCCCCCTCGTCTTCGTCCACTTCATCTACCTCCCTCCTCCTCCTCCTCCTCCTCCTCCTCCTCCTCCTCCTCCTCCTCCTCTTCTCCTCCTCCTCCTCCTGCTCCTCCTGCTCCTCCTGCTCCTCCTGCTCCTCCTGCTCTCCTCCTACTATAATTCACCCGCTCCTCTTCCTCCCGCCTCATCCCTCCTCATCTTCCCTCGGACGTCCCGACCCTTTGCCCAGGGCCGACGTTTGCTCCCGAGTCGCCCCTTGACGGTCCCGGGGCCCTTGCGAGGGCCCTGGAGGTCGAATGGGGCCAAGACTTGCGCGTCGTTTTTTTTCACGGCGCGATCATGTTTGGGTCTCCTTCTCCATGGTGAGCTTCCCCCCTCTGCGGGAGCGTCGTCGCCGAGATGCCTCGACGGACGGAGCCTCCCGGGCCGTGGGTCCGTCCCCGCCGAGGCGGTCGAGCGTGCGATCAAGATCTTGCGCGAGTTCTACACCAAGGCCGAGGGCTCCTTCGTGCAGGAGAGGGGAGCGGATGCTTCGCCTTAGATAAGCAGAAGGAGGAGGAGGAGGAGGAGGAGGAGGAGGAGGAGGAGGAGGAGGAGGAGGAGGGGCGGGGGGCAATGCACAGTGCGGGGATAAATAATAGGGTCAGGACGAGGGGCAATAATTGAGGAGGAAACGAGGGGGGAAGGAGGAGACGCCGCCGCTGGTGAGCGGACCAGCGAGCACGCCGTGCCGCGCAGGAGCCGTACAAGGGCATGCAGGACGTGAAGGGTGGCGTCCTTGGCTTGCTCGAGGCCTCTTGCCGCCACCGCCGTCGTTCTCATCTTTGTCGTCGTCAGAGTTCGGGGTCATCGTCGTCTCTGCGGGCGCCGACCATCCACATACACCGATTCTGGCCAGGCCCTTGAAGGGCCTGGCCCAGGAAGTTCCTGGGCCCACAGTGAGCTTTGTGATGGGGTTCACCTTGGTTTTAGAAGGGCCCGATGTCCCTTTGGCTCTGTCGCTGGATGTTCTCTGGCGTTCCTCGTGCACCTGGGCGCAACCGAGGCGAACAAGAGGCTTGTTTCCTTTCCCGATGTTCCTTATCACAAAACTGCGACTGCAGGTCCAGTGGAACCGCCCCCACTGTCTATGAGGGCCTGGGGTTGGCCCAGCCGAGATCGGTGCGATTATTTGGTCAGTCAGCGTCCTCCTGCTTGACGCCTCTTTTGTCTCCCTTGTCCTCCTCGTTCATTTCATTATTCTTATCAGCCGTTTTCTTGCCCGCACCATGTTTCCGTTTCCCTCTTCTGGGCGTCGTCCATATTTTTCTTGTTATTCTTCTCTTCTCCTCTCTTCTTCCTCCTCCTCCTCCTCCTCCTCCTCCTCCTCCTCCTCTTCCTCCTCCCCCTCCTCCTCCTCCTCCTCCTCCTCCTCCTCCTACGCCCCTTTCCCGAATTCCCCGTCCACCGCCCTCCCCGCCTCTTACTCCACAACCCCATCAGCGGCATCATCGTCATCCCCGCTCCCCCTTTCATTCCCCGTTCTGCACCTCCTTCTCATCCCCTCATCAGTGCCCCGTCCCCGTCCTCATCCTCGCTCTTTCTCTCTCGTTCTTCCTTTTTTGTTTCTCTCTCTCTCTCTCCTTCCCTAGTGCGGGCAGGTGTGCCTGTCCGACTTCGCCCGCCTGGAGACCGAGACCTCCATGGCGGAGGATATCACTCGCCTAGCGCCCCAGTGCGTGGAGGAGGAGGAGGGGGAGGAGGAGGAGGAGGAGGAGGAGGAGGAGGAGGAGGAGGAGGAGGAGAGGAGGAGGAGGAGGAGGAGAGGAGGAGGAGGAGGAGGAGGAAAGGAGCAGGAGGGGGAGGGGAGGAGGAGAGGAGGAGGAGGAGGAGGAGGAGGAGGAGGAGGAGGAGGGGGGAGGAGGAGAGGAGGAGAAGGAGGGGAGGAGGAGGGGAGGAGGAGGATGGGGAGGAGGAGGGGGAGTGGGTTGGAGGAGCAGGAGGAGGAGCAGGAGGAGGAGCAGGAGGGGAGGAGGAGGAGGGGGGGAGGAGGAGGGGAGGAGGAGGAGGAGGAGGAGGCGGAGGAGGAGGAGGAGGAGAAGGTGGAGGAGGAGGAGGAGGAGGAGGAAAGGTGGAAGAGGGGGAGCAGGAGATGGAGGAGATAGAGGGACGGGAGGGCGTGAGGCAGGCAGACATGCCGATATTGGAGCATGCGGGCGAGGAACGAAGAGGGCGGGGTTGAGGGAGAGCGAGAACGGAATGGCGGGAGGGAGTGAGGGAGGTAGAAGGCGGAGGAGGAGAAGGGAGGAGCAGGGGGAGAAGAGAGGAGGAGGGCTGGACCCCCTGGCGGCGCCTCTGGCGCCACCTTTTTTTGCGTGCGCCGCGCGCCGAGGAGGGGCTTCAGCGCCGATCCGAGAAATCCGCGCGGGCCTCCGACCATGTCTGTGTATGTTGCGTTTGCCTGCCTCCTGTTTGTCCTCCTCTTCCTCCTCCTCCTCCTCCTCCACCTCCTCTTCCAGATCCCACTCCTCATCCCTCTCCTTCTCCCTCTGCCTTCTCCTCCCCTTCCCCCCCCATCCCCTCTTCCTCCTGCTCCTCCTCCTCCTCCTCCTCATCCTCATCCTGTTCATCCCTCTCCTCATCCCTCTCCTCATCCCTCTCATTCTTCCTCTCCATCCTCCTCCCCCTTCCCATTGGCCTCCTCCTGCTCATCCCTCTCCTCATCCCTCTCATTCCCCCTCTCCTCCTCCCCCTCCTCTCCCTCCCCGTCTCCTCCTGCTCATCCCTTTCTCATCCTCTCACCTCCTCCTCCCCCTCCTCCTCCCTCCCCTCTCTCCTCCTCCTCCCTCCTCCTCCTCCTCCTCCTCCTCCTCCTCCTCCTCCTCCTCCTCTTCCTCATCATCATCATCCTCCTCCTCCTCCTCCTCCTCCTCCTCCTCCTCCTGCTCCTCGTCCTCCTCCTGTCCCTCCCCCTCCCTGGGGGCTGCGAACGTAGATCTCTCGCCACTTCCGTGGGCTCACGGTAGGCCCTGCGGAGTGACGTCTTACCCAGATCATAGTTTTGGGCGCTTCGCGCCCCCCCATCAGCCCATCCAGAAACAGACACACAGCGAGTTGCCTTGAGCAAGGATGTGTAGCGTCTTGGTGGATGGGGCGCCTATCGCTGGTTGCGGTACCTGTCATGCGTCTTGCGTGCCCGTGGCCGCCTTGGTAGAGTGGTTGTTGGTTGTTGTTCGCCGTGCTCGCGATGCTTGGGGCGCGAGCGAACCGACGACAATCGCGCTGTCATCAAGCACGCAGGGAGCGACGACAGGCAACCACTCAACCCAGGAAACTGCCGACGCCGAAGGACGACGACGACGACGACGACGACGACGACGACGACGACGACGACGACGACGACGACGACGACGACGGACCACGACGGACCACGACGGACGACGACGTCGGACGACTTCGACTACACGACGACGCCGACGCCGTTCCGACTCCGCCGCCGCCCCCGCCCCCGCCGCCGCCGCCGCCGCCGACGACGACGACGACGACGAGGACGACGACGCCGCCGACGCCGACGCCGACGCCGACGCCGACGCTGACGTCGACGCCGACGCCGATGCTGACGCCGACGCCGCCGCAGATGATGATGACGAGACCATCAAGGTCTTTGCAGATCTTTTGCTTTGGGAGCGGCTTGGAGGCCTCTTGGGGCCCTTTCGGAGGCCTCTGGGGCCCTCTTTGGGATCTCTTGGCTCTTCGGGCTTACTTAGGCTTTGGGGGTCCCCTTCGTGGCCATTTTGGAAGCCATCGGTCAAGGGATTGAGGATACTCTAGTGCCTCTTCGTCTGGGCCCGAGCATAAGCCCCTTGGGGCCCTCTCGTGCCGCTCTTGGAGAGCGATTGGGGCCACCCTGCGGCAATCATGGCCGTCGTGGGGCCATCGTTGGCCATCTTGGACCCCTCCTGAGGCCTCAAGAACCCATCGGAAGCGAACTGGCGAGAAGGCCAAGCACATTGACACACACACAGTGGTTTGGAATGCAGTTGGCATCTTGGAGGCCTCCTCAATTGGGAGGCTCGGGTGGCATTTGGGGTCGTCCAGGGGAGATCTTGAGGGCTCCTGAAGACATGTGGGAGGCTATCTTGGACCCATCAAGTCATAGCTTTGGCGATCTTGGAGGCCATCTCACCATCTCGGGTTCTCTGGGGCCCTTTGGGGGGAGGGGGAGGGGGCGTGGGCGAGGCAAACAGGTTCCCTCTGATATCTCACGGGGTGGCTGGGGGGTCCAGACTGGTGGGAGTAGACCTCGCCCGAGGCGGTGCCAATTAGGAAAGCATTTTTGCGACGCGTATCCCCACCAGCCCATCCAGAGACGAGATAGCCAGGCGAGGAGTTGCCCTGATCAGGGCAGCGCAGGAGCAAGAAGAGGGGCAAGAAGGGGGGCAGTCGTCAAGCCGAAGATCGGGATCAGTCTGAGCATGCCCAGGAGTCAACCATTCATGCCTTCGCAATGGGAGCCTCTCGGCAGTTTACTTGGGTCATTGTGGGATCTTTGTTGGTCCGGTGTGGGGACCTTCGGGACTCGATTGAAGCCCTCTTGGGGGCATTGGTTGCCCTCTTGGGCCAATTTTGAGTCACCCTGAAAAGTTGAACCACGTTGGGCTCTCTCGTGCGATCTCGGACGTCATCTTTGGCTATGTGAGGCCCTCTTGGGGCCATCTTGGGCAAGCTTGGGCGCTCCAACGACGCGCGAGCCTCTTCCCTCCAGACCAGGGAAAAGGGGGCGGGAGGCAGGCTGGGCGCGCTCGCGCCACGTCTGGCATCCCACCTCGCCCACTCGTCCCTCGCCGCTGCGCCGCTGCTCACAGTCGGCCCGGATTTGTAGGTCGACCCTGCCAAATCAAGGGCACCTTTGTGTCCTGTGTCTCGCGGCCCATGCCTCCTGCATTCCTATGGCAATGTGGCCCTCGGAAGGGTCTCTTGTTCTCTCGCGTGTCCTGTCCAGTGAAGTCCGACTGTACTCCATCCACCGACGGGTGCCACAGTGGACCTGGAACCTACCAGATGACGCATGGGAGCCGTGTACATTGGCTGATGAAGAGCAGGCCGAGCTGGAGGATGAGCAGGGGGAAAAGGAGGAGAAGGAGGAGGAGCAGGAGGAGGAGGATGAGGAGGAAATCGGATGACGAGGAGGAACAGCAGCAGCAGAAGTAACAGGAGTGGGATTCATTGGAGGAGCAGGATGACTAGGTGAGGAGAGAGGACTGGAAAGGCGCGGGGAGACAACGATCAGAAATGACTCGGATTCAAAAAAGTGGCCCGCGCAGGGGCCAGGTCGCCAGTCTAAACGGTAGGCGCAACGCGCGGATCCTCAATGGAGGCGCATGATACAGCAGGGGGCACCATTTCGAATCACCAGAAGCGCTCCGATTGCAACAATTGCATCACATACAGATGTTTGCAGTCATACTTGGGCCGGCACGGGAACGGAAAGAGCGCTGCAGCAACCTTCCCGAGAGGGCTCTTGGGCATCCGTGGGATTTTTTTGGGGGGGGCCCTGTGAAAAAACACTTGCTGGCCAACTTTCCTGGGCCGTCTTGGGGCCGTCTCGGGGCTCTCTCGGAGTCCCCTGGGCCAGTCTTTGGGCCCTCTCGGGACCTCTTGGGGCCTCTTCGGGCATCTTTTGGGCAGCCGTGGGAAGTGTTTTTGGGAAGCCCTCTCAAAAGACACTTGCTGGACAGCATTCTTGCAGCCCTCTCGGAGCCCCCTGGGCCAGTCTTGGGGCCCTGTCGGAGCCCCTTGGGGCTCCTCGGGGCACCCGCGAGCGCCCCCAAACCGCCTCCGGGTGACCTGGAGGCCTTCAGCTGGAGGAGGGCCAACTGAGACAACGGTGGTGAGACGGCGGCGGCCCTATCGCCCCGCCCAACTCCGCTCAAAATCGGTCCCCGGTGGGCCGCCGAAGGGTTCTCAGAAACGCCTAGAACAAGATCACATTGCCTGCTGTGGACCTCGGGTGGGGTGCTTGGGGGTGCATGTTCCTAAAACGGGGGCGAATGACCTGGATTATAGATGGTACCAGTCCTCCGACGCTTTGTTAAACATCATGGTGTGTTAAGCTTGTACTCTGGGTCGGGCGCATACTATCAGACAATGTACAGCATGGAACTTGTCATACGCTGTCCGCATGGCTAAAAAGAGCGAGTGCCAGGCCAAAGGGGGCTCGCCAAAGGGGGCTCGCTCTCCAGGAATTGACACGCTCATCAAACTCCGCAAACCGGGCAAGATCGATTCATTATCTCATGAAATCTGGAGCAGTTGATGGCGGCTCGCAGCATGGCACCGCGAGAAACGACCGCTAACCTCCGCACCGCTACAGCATGTCCTCGGTTTTTGAATTGGTAGAGGAACTCTGGGAAAAGCAGCACCTCGAGGAGCACGCCAATCGCTGAAATGAGTTCTGTTCTGCAACACTGCCTCAGGACGATGGCTCCCGCAGATGTGGGACGTAGCTCATGACAAGTGGGAGAAGCATACTGTGCACGCTCGATATGTAGCCTAAGACGCCTCCAACCGCCTCCAAGCTGTTTCACGAGACGCTTTTCTTCGCAAGGGTATTCCACCGATCCCCCTGGGAGTTCTCGGCGTGTGAGACGATTGCCCCCACCCATGTCCTCTCCCCCGGGGGGTGTCCAGTCGATTCGGATCGGCTGGACCCAGCCCGCTCCAGCCGGAAGGAGTAACTTACTCCAGAAACTCTGCCGGATGGCGTCCGATGGCGTCGACATGGCCCCGAGAAGTTCCAAGACAGCCCAAGATGGCTTCCAGCTGGCCCCAGATGACCTCAGCCCCATAACCCTATGCCCCTATGGCCCCATAGCCCTAAAGCCCCATGCCACTATGGCCCTATAGCCCTACAGCACTACAGCTACATGACCCAATACCCCCATACCTCATATTGACCATAATATACCCCTACATCCCTACAATCCCATAGCCCAATAACCGTATAGCCGTACAGCCCTACTGCCCTATGGCCCAACAGCCCTAAAGCCCTACAGCACCAAAGCCTTACAGCCCTAAAGCCCTAATACTGTATAGCCGTACAGCCCTAGAGCCCCATAGCCGTAGGGTACAGGAGCCCCATAGTCCCATACCTCCCGTAGCCCTGTAGCCCTATAACCCTAGAGACCTGCCGGCCAACAGCCTAACAGTAACTAAGGCCCATGGACCTATGGCTCTATAAGCCTGTAGCGCCGTAGCCCTAGCCTTACACACCCATAGCACTATGGTCCTACAGCCCTGTAGCCCTACAGCCCTACGGCCGTTTAGCCGAAAATCCCCATACCTCATATATGCCATGTGCCCCTATAGCTCTACACGCCCATAGCCCAATAACCGTATAGCTCTACAGCCCAACTGCCTTGGAGCCCAATAGCCCTAAAGCCCTATAACCCTGTAGCACCAGAGCCCTACAGCCCCCAAACCCTTTAGTCCTATAGCCCTACAGCACAAGAGCTCCATAGCCCCATACCCTTCATAGCCCTGTATCCGTATAATCCCTTAGACGTGTAGCCCTACAGACCCATAGCCCTCTAGGCCCGTGGCTATACAGCCGTGTAGCCCTGTAGCTCTAATAGCCATATCGCCCTATAGTCCGAGAGCTTTACAGCCTTACATATTTATACATGCCTCTGCCCTCGGACCTCGACCTCTCAATCAGACGACTGGTATGGGCCCTCGAGACTTTTAGCGGTATGGGCAAGGCTTTGGGTGTCTCCCCCATGGACACCGCGAGCTTCAAGTATGTGGGATAAGGCGAAACGTACCCTGGGGTTACCAGAGGGATGCAGGAAACGGCTCGAGCCAAATCGCGCAAAGGACAAGCATGAAGCTTTGGTGTCGAGAATTGTGTGCGTAACCGTTCGTTGTTGGGAACCTTGGTGTGAAGACCTTTTTGCGTTACCGATCGCTCTTTTATTCGGCGTCTCTGGGCCCTCTTGGGGGTCCTTTTGGGCTGATTTGGGGGCCCATTTGGACTGCCTTGGGGCCCTCTTGGGCCGTCTTGGGGGCCTTTTTGGGCGTCTGGGTGCATCTTGGAGGGCTTTGGCCGTCTTGGGGCTCTACTGGGAGTCTCTTGGGGCGGTCTTGGGAGTCTCTTGGAGCTCTCTTGGGGCTCTCTTGGGCCGTCTTGGGGCCCTCTTGGGCCGTTTCGGGGCCCTCTTGGCCCGTCTTGGGGCACTCTTGGGCCGTTTTCGCTCGCTTCTGGGGGCCTCTTGGGCCGTCTTTGGGCGATCTTTGGAGCCTCCTGGGTCGTTTTCGGCAGTTCATGGCCCGACAAAGCGAAATCCGAAAAGCCAACAAAAACCATTGAACACTAAATGATGTTTGCCTCCTCGGGGCCTCATGGGGAGCCTCTTGGAGGCCACTTGGGGCGTCTTCGGGGCCTCTTGGACCGTCTTGGAGCCATCTTAGGGCGTCTTGGAGGCCTCTTGGACCATCTCGGACACAACGTTGGCCGTTTCGGAGCGCTCTGGGACCGTCTTGGAGCTGTATTGGGCGCCTCTTGGGCCGTCGTGGGCGCCTCTTGGGCAGTCTTGCGAGCCTCTGGGGCCGTCTTGGGGGGGGAAGTGGCCATTAACGCCAATCTCACGCTTCGCCCCTCCCCTGGAACCCCTCCCTCTAGGGCTTCGCCCCAACACAACGTCATCGCTCGTACCTCGCTCTTTCCGTTACTTGTGTAGAAAACATACGCGGACAGGGCGCAATGCCCATTAGACGTCGTCGATGGACGAAATTTTCGAAGAGCCAGGGTGTGCGTTTCAGGGCGATCAGTAATGTGCATGCAGAGCAAGAAGTTCACACGTTTGCGAGCAACCGAAGTGCAGAACTCGCGTGATGCGGAGACAATGCCTCTTTGGAGCATCTTGGATGGCTGGATTCCAGCGGCGCGGCGCGGCGGTGGCGCACTCTTGGGTCCATATTGGGTGCTTTGGGAGCGGTCTTGGAGGCCTCTGAGGCAGTCTGAGACGATGTTCAGACCCAACAGCAGATGATGTTCATTCCAGGAATCCCAGTACAAGCTTCTTCACTGTTTGGGGCTTCTTCGGCCAGCCCCATGCGGCATCGATGACGGGCCCTGCGATTTCCTTAGGGCGTGTTGGGAGTTTTGGGCACGCCAAGAGCGTTCCAGATCGCCTGGGGGGAATCCGGGGCTGGGCCCCGTAAAGGGCATTCAAGACGGACAGCTCGAAAAAAAGGCCCTGCTGTAGTAAATTGTTTTTGGTTGAATATTGAAAAAGCACAACACAGATCATTCCGCCAGACTGCCAGACTGTCGTTCTCAGCTTCCATCGCCGTCAACCCTCAGGAGGAAGCGCAGAGCAGCTACGAGAAGTTCATGGCCGAGTCCACGGAATCGAAGGACCTCTTGTTTCCCGCGCGTGTCCAGCCATTCTTTCGCCCAAGACCCCCTTACCGTCCATGCAGTACGTAGGCACATCAGATAAGAGCCAGCCTGCCTGCAGGTGTCCAGCCCAAAGATCATGGTTCCCCGATGGCATTGGGACTCACCTTGGAGGAACAACAAGGCTCAAGATCGGACGGGCCTGTTACATTTAATTGTGGTACAGCAGATATCTATATCTAGATACACGTATGGGATGTTCTCGCTTGTTGCCGTAATGCAAGTTTTGTTGTGGGGTGCTCCCAGGTTGCCCGGCCGCTGTCAGGCGGCAGTGCTGTGGTGAGAACGTGTACCGCTCAGGGTCCTGCGCGTCGAGGCATTCTCAAAATGTTTAGGTGGTCCAGTCCGTTTCGCTTGAGGCATCCTCGCACGTCCGTGTTCTGAGACGACTTTATTTGAGATAGTCCCGTCCGTTTCGCCTGAGACATCTTCGCAACTCTGGGCCCCAGACGTTGCGCCAAAGGTGATTTGGCCCATTTCTCCTGAAGCATCCTTGCATCTCTGGGCTCGGAGATGCCGGCACGAGGCGAACCGATGCCGCGCACGAGGCGATCCATCCAGTCCCGCTTGAGACGACATCCCCGCAATTCTGGGTGGAGGTCCGGCCAGGTTCGCCTGAGGCTTCCTCGCAACCTTGGGCAGCCGCTGAGGAGTACGAAGAGGAGAAGGACCAGTGTAAACCCAAGACTCATCAACGATGTTGCAATGAATCATCCCTCCAAGTTCCCTCGTCATAGGCTCCGAGGAGAAATCAGTATCATACTTACCTGTGTGATCTCGTACTGCATTCTTTTAGCCTCTCCTCGCGTCGATCGTCGTCCCTGGCCCAGTCTGCCCCCGCCTCCCTAGTGGCTTCCCTGCCCTGGCCTCGGGACCCCGCCTGCCCAGTCCTGGCCTCCTCCTGCCCTGGCTTCTCTGGCCTCCTTCTTAGCCTCCCCGCCCTGGCCTCGGGACCCCATCCCACCAGCTTTACGTCGGGCATTTCCCTTTAAAGGGTGAAAATTCAAAAATAGTCAAAAAATGGCCTGGGGATTATTTTTTGAATATTTTGGGGGATCTTTTTGAGTATTTTTGTTGTATATGTTTGGATATTTCGTCCAATATCCCCATGCAGGGGGACAGGCCCGACTTAACACCCGCTCCTCGAGTCGGTGGTCGTCCGCCTGCCTGGCCTCCGCGGGGGCTTCCCTGCCCTGGCCCCGGGAGGCTTGCCTCGTCCTGCCTGGGCCTTCCGGCCTCCTCCTCGGCCTCCCTGCCCTGGCCTCGGGACCCCGTCCCAACAACCCTGGCCTCCCTGGCCGCCCCCATCCAGGGCATGCCCTGAGGAAGAGGAGGAGGAGGAGGAGGAGGAGGAGGAGCACGAGGAGGAGAGTTGCCCTGAGGGGGCACGCGCGCGTGGCCTACGCAGCTGGCCCGAAGCCTGGCCCTCGCCCCGGAAGCGCACTCGAACCCCTTGGCCATTACCACCCCCCCCCCTTGAAGACCGCAGGGTCGCACGTGTCAAAGTGAACCCCCAGGAGCTGCACGATACGAGTTCGCCTAGCTACATTAGGAGCGCGCGCGAAGCGTGCGCGTGGTTCTAGTATATATATATATATATATATATATATATACACATATATATACACATGTTTATATATATATATGTATATATATATGTGAAAATATAGGTAAAGATCTATTTCCCGACTCCTATGTTTCTATCACCCGGACCTCCCCCCCACCCCCCCTAAACCGGACCCCCCCCCCCCGGACGCCCCAAGACGTCCTTTCGGACATCTCGGCGGTCCCCTGGACGCCCTTGGAGAAGGTCCGCTGGCTTTTCCGGGCCTCCCAGGGCGCCTTAAAGGGCCTTGCAAGCAGACTCAAGGCGATCAGAGGGCTCGTCGGAGAGGCGCAAGAGAGACCCAAGACAGCACAAGAGCGCTCCAGGAGGAACCTCGATGGTCTGAAGACGGCCCAAGAGGCCCCCAAGACGCCCAAAGAGGCCGTCAAGAGAGCCCCGAAGAAGTAACAATCGTCCCATATCCTCCGGAACATGTATATTTTAAGCATATCCGTTTTTGGGGTCTTTGCAGCATTCAAGACGGCCCGATGGGCCCCCAATATCGCCCCAAGACGGCCCAAGAGGCCCCCCAGAGAGTTTGAAGAAGGCCGAAGAGGGCCCCAAGACTGCCCCAGAGAGCCCCGAGACTGCCCACAAGAAGCCCAAGATGCCCCCAGAGGCTCCCAAGAGAGACCCACGAAAGCCATGGGAGACCCCCAAGAAGGCCGCTGGAGGCCCCCAAGAGGGCCCTAAGATGGCTTCAGAAGACCTCTGGAGGGCCTCAGCTCCCCAAGACGGCCTAAGAAGGCCCCAGGACGACCCAAGAGGGCCCCAGGACGGCCCAAAAGAGCCCCAAAAATGCCCAGACGGCGTTCTCCGAAGTATGAAGTACATCGAGCTGACACGACGATTTTGGTTCCGCGCAGGAGGCTCGAGGTCTGAGTTCTTTGGGTCGAGAAAGACAGGCAATGGATCTAGATTCGAAGTTCGACGATCGAGGATTTCCTGAGTGCCTGGAGCCTTCCAGGCATTCAGGAAGCGACCAACAATCGATTTGTTCGGAGCTAATGCGACCTTTTTCGCGTGTCATTGGGAACGCTCCTTACTTCCTCAAGGGACCTCCGCGCTTGAAAAATCATCATTACTTCCCCACACCTGCGCACAAGCGTGCAAGCGCATCGGGCGAACGCGGTGTCAGCAGGCACCAGGGATATCAGAAAAATGAGCCGGTCGCCCGTCCAGGCTCCGACGTCCCCCTTGTAGAACCAAGCGATGATTGATTGCTTTGCCAGGGAAGTGTCCGGAACAAGGTGCATGGCTCGAAGCGCCAATGCAGTCTTGTATATACATAGGTATATATATAGAGAGAGAGGGAGAGAGAGAGAGAGAGAAACAACAACAAAGAGAACTAACACACGACAGGTAAAGAGAGAGGAGAGAGATACACATGTACGTCTGGTAAGATCTGGTACATATATATATGTATATATATACACACTTTCAGTTGTTGTACCCTGCATTACTGGTTCTTGTTTCTATTGCGAACAAGGAGCTGGAAATCGGGCGTAGGCGTACGGAGAGATCGAGCGAGCTCCCCCTGGTGTCTCCCAGGCGCGGCTCGTGTTTTTTTTATGTTCCTTCCTCTTCCTCTCCGTAGCTTCCTTCTTATCATCTTTGTCCCCCAAACTTCGTAGGAGGATTGCACCTCCTCTTTATCCTCATGTTCGAAGGGCGCGAACGCTCCTCACTCCTCCTCCTCCTGAGCCTCCTCCTTCTCCTCCTTCACAGTGCAACAATGTGAATGCTACTCTCCTCTCTCCCCTGGCGGCGTCCAGGGAATGTCCGGCCCCCCCCCCTCCGCGCGCTGGGTTTTTTCTTACACAGGATTCCCGGGAAGTGGGTTTCGCGTTTTTTTTTTCAAAATGCTGTTCCTGCTGAAGCGCTGGCCTAATTTGCGGGCTACCGCTCGTGCCGAATCGTGCTCCCGCTCCAGCGCTGGCCTCATTTCCGCGCTTCCGCTCGTTCCGAATCGCGCTCCCGCTGCAGCGCTGGCGTCATTAGTTTCGGTGCCATGCCATGGCATGGTTTTCGGGCCTTCAAATAGGCCCAAATTCAAGAGAACAAAAAACAGAAAACAAACAGCGGAAGAAGCCCCACCCCCCCCCCACTTTGGGGCGTCGCCACGCCATGCCGTGTCAGGCTACGCGTCCTCATTTCCGCGTTTCCGCGCTTAGTTTTGTTTACAAATGTTGGTCTCGTTGAAGCGCCGGCTTCTGTTTCGGGCCACCGCTCGTTCCGAATCGTGCTACCGCCGCAGCGCTGGCGTCATTATTTCCGGCGCCATGCCACGGCATGGTTTTCGGTCCTTCCAAATAGGCTCCACAATTTAGAAAATTGACCCCCGAATCAACCATCAGAAGTGTTGACACATTCGGTGTCGATTCGTAGATTTTCTGGGCCCCCACTTTGGGGCGTCGCCACGCCATGCTGAGTCAGGATACGCGTCCTCATTTCCGCGCTCCCGCGTTTTGTTTCTTTCAAGATGCTGCTCTCTCTGAAGCGCTGGCTTCATTTTCGAGCTACCGCTCGTTCCGGGTCGTGCTCCCGCTGCAGCGCTGGCCTCATTTCCGCGCTTCCGCTCGTTCCGAATCGCGCTCCCGCTGCAGCGTTGGCGTCATTATTTTCAGCGGCATGCCCCAGCATGCTGTTCGGTCCTTCCAATTGGGCTCCAAAATCTAGAGAATGGCCTCCCGAAGAGACCATCGGAAGTGATTACACATTAGGTGTCGATTCGTTAACTTTTTGGGCCGCAGAAGCCCCTTTGGGCGTCGCCACGCCATGCTATGTCATGCTACGCATTGATCTTCGACATCATGCGATGCCATGTAATGCTATGCCATGCTGGAACATCCGATTGTGCGAATAGAGAGGAGATCTACGCCATGGTAAGGGATGGGAGGGAGGGTCGTCAGGACGTCAGATATGACGCGAGCGCACCTAGCTTGGTTTCCTCCCCTCCTCTGCCTCCTCTGCCTTCTCTCTTCCTCTGCCGAAAAAGGGGCGTGCGGAGGCCTCCAAAAATGACCGGCAGGAGGTCAAACGGCACCATCGCCCGAAGTAAAGGGCGCACGTCTCCGGTCAGCGCGGCAAAAGGCCCAATCAGGACGACCCTGAGGCGCACGAGGCCCAACCGGCGCGCTCCCGTCTCCTCCTCCCCCTCTGCTGCTGCTGCTCAGATCTCCCGTCGCCCGCGCCGCCTTTGCGGGCTGCTCCCCAGGAGGTGAAGGAGGTGGAGAAGGAGCACAAGGAGGGCAACAAGGCCGCCGCCGGGCTTCCGCACCCCCCTCGCCCAGGAAGGGAGGGAGGCGGGGCAGAGGGGCAGAGAGGCAGGAGACGGAGGGGTGGGGGGGGGGCGCGGGGAGAGGCCACGATGAGACGGATGGAGAGGAGAGGAGGAGGAGGAGGAGGAGGAGGAGGAGGAGGAGGAGGAGTAGGAGGAGGAGGAGGAGGAGCACTAGGAGGAGGGGAGGAGCACTAGGAGGAGGGGAGGAGCACTAGGAGGAGGGGGAGGAGGAGGAGGAGGAGGAGGAGGAGAAGGAGGAGGAGGCGCGCAACCGCGCCCTCGGCGTACGCCCATGCTCTCCTCGTCCGTGTCCGAGTCCCCAGACGTCCTCGAGGTGAGCCCTTCCTCGGCGGGATTGCTCTCGAGCTGGAGCGCCGCGACCACGCCCACCTTGCTCGCCTCGGCGCCACTCGACGACGATGCCCCTCAGCGCTGATGCTGAAGCGGCTGTTGGGTCACAGGGCGCCCGCTCACGTCCCGGTGAGGATACAGAGGACCGCGGCGCCACGTCGGTTTCGAGAGTGCGCATTGCACGAGAGTTCGTATCACGAGGCTGATCTCGCGGGCCGGGGGTCCGTGTTCATGTATGTAGGTTGGTCGCGTACGTCCGTTGTGGGCTGCCTCGAGAGAGGGAGGACACGGGGAAGTGGCGCAGTTGGGAAGAGGGGGAATTCGTGTAGGCGAGGGCCCGCTTGGCACGCTCCCTCCCTGGACTTTGGCTTGCCGAGGGGCACAGAGTTCGATGATGGAGGCGTAAGAATAGGAGGGGCGAAGGAGGAGGCGGCGGAGGAGGGAGGAGGAGGAGGAGGAGGAGGAGGAGGAGGAGGAGGAGGAGGAGGAGGGCAAAGGAGGTTGCGGCGGCGGATGGAGGAGGAGGGAGGGCGATGGCCGGGAGCGTGCGCGGAGGAGGGATGAGGAGGGGACGTAGGGAGTAGGGCGGTCAAGAGCAACGTTAGAGGGGACAGGCGGTGGGTTCGAGGTTCGAGGTCTTCTTCCGTTGTCGTCGGCTCCCAGAGGAATTCCGGCCTCAGGAGGCCCTTCCAGCGGCTGCGCCTCGCCGAGAGCATCCACGGGGGTGCCCGAAGCGTCCCCGACGGCCGCTGGAGGCCCGAGTTGCCGACAGGAGATCGGGTCGGGGGGCGCATCGACCCCCAATCGCCCACTCATTGCCGATAGGGGCCGGGCACCA